CCTACAAAAACAAAAAAACCCCAGATGATAGAAATGATCATGAACAAGTCTAGAGCTTTTTCACCTTGTTTCTCGTCTCCCTACTCCAGGAATTGCAACTGGATCAATAGGCCATACTTGTCAAGATCACGAACGAGGTGCTCGATCAACACGCGATGCTGTCCGGGATAATGTACGAGGAAGTGCAGCTTTATCAATACGTGATTCTTGCCGGGACAATGAACGAGGAGGGGTCTTTGGGCGATGGGATGAGGTCTCATCTTCATTGGGGACTTGACATTTTTCTCCCAGAATAATTTTCTTATTCAAAATCGAGTCTTCTTTGTTCAATTTCTTATCTCTATGTCTATCCTCTCTTTTAGACCATTGCTTTGATCCCATCTTCTGCATCCTCACGCTCGTGCTAGACGATAGTTTCCCATTCGCGGCCGTTGAGTTTGACCGGTCGAAATGCTGGGAAGCCGTCCTCAGCATTCGCGGCGGTGGTGGTAGTGGTGGTTGTTCTTCATCTTGTGTTGTTTCTGTTTCTGTTGGTACTGCTGGTGAAATAACTACATTCGAATTCTCTGTTTTCTCTTCTGTTGCAGATGGAGGCGACGGCGATTTCTTGCGCGTCAGAGCGCACAGAGACGAAACAATGGCAATGGAAGCCGCCATGCACGCGACGAGCAGATATAACGATAGAATCGGATGGTTTAACCGGTGATCGACGGCGAGAATTTTCCGTACCATGGCTGATGTGTTTTACATAAGAAGGAGAAGAGAGAAGAATATCGATTGATCTCTCTCTTCTCTTCTTCTTTTTCTTGTGATCATAAAAAGTGGTGCTAGAAAGGTTGTTTTGGTGTTTGTTTTGAAGGAAAATGCTGTTTGGAAATGGAGTGGTGGTTCTTGGTTTTTTCTGATTCATTTGGTATCCGTTATAGATTGCCTCAAATGAGGAATTATAGGCCAAAAGTGGAGGGTAAGTGGGCATGATGTTGTTATTTTTGGTTAAAGCTCGTGTGTTGGTCGCTGTCACAATTACTCTTATTTTCTATAATTGTCGTAATGCCATTATAATATACTCATTTGTATAGTCAACGTCTTGACCATGCAAATGAGATTTCAGGAGGAACTACTGTATTGGGCCTGTATTGGGCTTTTTGTTGGGATTGTAATGGGCTTCCAGAGGCACTGTATTTGGGCCAGTATTGGGCTTTTGGGTTGAATTAAAGCATTTTGTGTAATGGGCCAAAAGATATCCTGATCCACCAAGCATTATGTTGAGGAATTAAAGCCCAAGACACAATCAAGTATGAGATCGTGTGAGGTCTGTTTGGTTCGATTTTCTGTTTCATGCAAAAACTTCGTTTGGTTGCATTTTTTCGAAAACTTTACTTAAAAGTCTGTTTTTGGAAAACTTTTCCCGTTTTCGGAGTTTTTGATAATTATTTTCAAAAAGAATTAAGACACATCATCGGAATGGGAAGAATGTAGCGGGGGTGTAAGTTTCACCATTGATGTGATTGTGATGTCATGTTGTGAGACTCACGCCCCGTCTCACATACAACTCATTTGGCATCCGAGAAAATTAGCATGCCCTAGGTAGTGTTCTAATGAGAGAGCAATCAGTGGGCTCACAACCAGATTTAGTAGCTAATGAGGTCAGTGTCATGGTTCAATGGTGATTGGGGCGTGAGGAAAGTGAGCCATCGTCACATAATATTCCTCAATCATATCTTCCTTTTGAAAAGATCTTATCACTCACATAGTCACATGCCATATGCATAAAGATGAAAATTATACAATGCAATAACTAAAGGCACTTACTTGTGGCTCAATAATTCTATGCATTTTGGGGTCAGTATGGTAACGGAATCAATTAACGTAATTGTGTGATTGATTTGAGTGAAGAGCTCTAGCATCTCACGCCAGGTCATAAAATTTCCAGACAAGCCCAAAAAAATTTGATTTTGAATTATTTCTTAGAGCTCTAACTATGAGTCACATTTAAGCAATGGTGAACCTTTTGGTCCTGTGATTTCATGAACAATGAGTGCAAGGTGGAGATGGCTATTGATCACGTTGATGGAAAGTCCCTGTATCTCCTTCCTTTGACCCTAGCCAAGTCTATGCAACAATTGATAGGGCCGGCAAATAAACAGACTAATGAACAGCTTATTTTCTTATAAGGTTAAAGATTCAAGTCCCCGCAAGGACAAGAGGGTGTGTGAGCATATCTTTTGTCAAGATAAAAAAAATGAACAGTGAAGATTCAACAGGCTCATTTACCTAACATTAGAGTTAGCATCACAGTGTCTTGAGTATTCAAATCTTAATAAACTATGTTCCCTTATTTTCCATCCCAACTTTTTCTGTTGATCCACCTTCATCTTCTCCCACCCTTTCCGTGTGTGTGTGTGTGTGTGTGTGATGTTGTGACAAGGATTTGATAACCAAAATGTTACTGATACAAACCAAAATATATAGTAACTGATCATAAATACCATCTTCAGGGAGAGGGAACAAAGGATGACTAATGACAAAAAAAATGGATTCATAGAAATTATGATTCCTATGTCATTATATATATATATATATTGCGACACAAATGGGTAGTCTCTGGCAGCAAAATGATAATGCTCAGCAGTGCCATGATAGAGGATGATCTTAAAAGATTCAGTAATAACACACGAATTTTTTTGAAACCTACAGAGAGAGTACCCCAACTCTGGACTTCCAAATACCATTTCTCTATGATTTAGAATTCTCAAATGGTATGCATGATATCACAGCTTGAACCAAAAAGTAGTATCTCTTCAAAAAGAGGAATAAATAGGAAAAGAAAAAGGCTACTTGTAATCATCTGAACCTACTCTCAACAGAGTTTCCAACAAACTCCGTCCACACACACACAAACCCCCCCGCCCCCCCAAACACACGCGCACACACACACACCCCTAGCTTCACCCAAGATGAGAGAAAAACCCACACTTGACTAAGAAAACCCCCAGCTCAGGAAGTGCTTACAAGATATAAGAAACTCCAGGGGAATAACAGAACCTCTGTCATGTATTCTAAATCCCCAATTTCAATTGTATATGACAAAATCTGACACTACTAGAATCATTTCTAAATCCATGTCACGGATTCTAAATCCCCAATTTCAATTGTATACAACAAAATCTGATACTACTAGAATCATTTCTAAATCCATTTCACACATTCTAAATCCTCAATTTCAATTGTATACAACAAAATCTGATACTAATAGAATCATTTCTCTAAGTAGACAAGACTCTGACATACATGAGAATTTGTAGACAATGACTAATTCATAGAAGAGTTGTATCAAGAATGGCTCCAGAGCATTTACAACTGTAATCTCAGATATAATTCTTTAGTAGACGCCCACACGTATCAAGACAGATAAGATAATATCAAGGAAAGAATGATAATAGGCCGCCGACAACTTGAGGGTTGGAGAAGGGGATCTCTATGTTTCTCATAGAAAGAAAAACTATTTCTGTTGTGTTTTCGTTGAAACAGACAACACGAAACCATCCCTTTAGAATGCAATTATCAAAAACGATAAACAGAAACGTCACAAAACTCTTGGGCCGTCAAAGATATTCTTCAAAGGTAGGCGAAGTACTCGTGTTTGGGACACACATTAGTCGGACATGTGTCCGACACATTTAGTTGAACATACATCTAAAAATACATATCCAATAATTCAATATTATTACATTGTTATTTCAAAATTAATGAAATGCCTATATTGAACACTATGTTACATAAATGCATTACTTTATTCTAAAAAATAAAATAAAATGGATATTTAGAAGTGTCCATGTGTCTTTTTGTTTAAAATTTTGACACCTCCAACGCGTGGATGCATATCCATACCCGACACACACGTACCCCAGTCTATGTAACATGAAATAAGTGAATGATGCAGTCTCTCATTGTGCTATATGCATTATAACCACTAACGCTATGAAGAACAAGCCATGCTCATAGGACTGGCCATAACGACCAACAATCATATCAAAAACTGAAAGTTTGAAGTTCATTTCAGACTATGAATGCCAAAAGCAAGATTAACCTCTTATCATAAAGCACGGTGTGCACATTGTAACAACCACATTAATACATAGACCAACAAATCAATAAACTAAAAGATTGAAGCTCATTTTGGACTATGAATGAACCTATTAGCATAAATGGATACAAAACAAGGTGTGCACATACTAAAGGATCAAAAAGAACATATGCACACAAATAGTTTGAAGACTTAAAGGGTTCTATTTGTCCAGAAATTATATAAATTTAACATGTATGACCGTAAACCATAACCAAAGAGAGAATCCATTCACTCAATTCAATCTCGAAAAGGTAATTAATTAATCACTCCTCAACCCCTCTACCCTACACATACATGCACACACACACATCCAATTTAGAGAGCCAGCAGCCTACAAAAGTGGCTACCAGATACCAGGCAACCTCAAAGCACAAAATTCAATCATTCCGCCTTTGAAACTGATCGGACGAAGAAAAGATCAGAGGGAAAGCTCCACCAATTCAAACCGACAGAGTCTAAATTTGAGACAACATTGAGCACTCAATACCATGATCTGGCAAGCTAAAATATTCTGTACATGAAAGCATGAAAAATAACATCCATACATGATCGGTAACCATAGTTCAATATTACAATAGCTCTCAAATCATGAATTTATTATCAAAACCCATAAATCTTGAATTGGAATAGAAATAACCACCATTCATTGACCACCTAGGTGTACCTATCCTTGAGCCACTAAAACCTCTTCCTCAAAACACCCTTTGGTATTCCCCTAAACAGAACAAACATTTTAGCTTCTTTTTTGTTTTTTTTTTTTTTTTTTCTTCCTTCACTAACAACAGAATAATTGAGAACCCTGTTGTATATACAAATTGAACATATTTTACACACACAAACCAACTAATAAAAAAAAAAAAAAGAGCATCAGTAACAAAAAGTTCCAGAAACAAATTGGTTCATATCTGGGAAATCCAAATAATGTATTTATGATGACAGCCCATGACACAAAATTTCAACTCATCACACAACTATCAAACACAAAAACATGAAAAAACGAATAATAGTACAAAATGACCCATAAATGAATCACCTCCAACCATAGAGCACTTGGGTGTACCTATCCTTGAGCCACCTGAAGCTCTTCCTAAAGGACCCTTTGACCTTCCCTTCAAGAGCATAGGCCTTGTAGCTAGCAACCCTCTTCTTCCTCTGAAACTCTGGATCATTGAAATTCCAAGATTTTGAAGATGACCCACTTGTGCTTTTCCCTTTCTTCAACTTCAAATCCTTCGCACCACCACCCATTTGGGTGATTGGCGGCGGAGCAACAGAAGAACCGTAAGAAGCACTGTATGACCTGAAACCGTGTGGGTCTGTAGTGGTGGGTCTATTTCCATAGTAGCTCACCATCTGCATCCTCCCATCAGCATATGTGTTTGATCTGTAATCTCCCATGGATTTGTTCAGTGAGAGAGATTAGGAGGAAGAATTTGGGTCTCTGATGTTGTCTAGCAAGGAAAGAACACGAATGTCTAAGATAAGGAGCTAACGAAAGACTAAAGAAGTCTATAAATATACATATATTGATATTGAACCAAAAATTGATTCTAGGTGCCGTAGTTGACGGGGTATTGTATTGTTTTTATTTTTCACTTTTTTTTTTTTTTTTTCACTTACATATATATATATATATATATATATATATAATTATATATGTAATTGTCCAGTAGACATTTTTTTGTGTAATCCAAGGAGGCAAGGACTGACTAGTCAAAAAGAGCCACGATACGATACTCAAGAACAAAAGTTACAATATTTTTTTCTTTTTTAGCCGTTGGCTATGACTTATTAGGCAAAAGTTTCAATTGATGTTCGTGAGATATGATTTATTAACTCTTAAAAAAAAAATACCAAATCTCAGTAAATATTAGTACTTAAATAAATAAAAAATTATCATAATCTTCTCTGTATTCATTACAGTTAAACTTTTTAAACTCTAGTTGCTTTACATGATACCGAATCAACAATCGGATCTGACCTTAATATCAAAGTAACGTACAATTGCCCATTTACTCCAAAAGTTTAAGCTGATAGATAGTACTTCATACTCACCTATTTATATTCAATCAATTTTTCATCCGAATCCGATATAGGACAAATATTCCCTTATAACACTTACTTAGTAGCATAGATATATGATTAATTTCATGAAATTGATTTGTTAACGATATGATTAATTTTTAATACAAATTGCATCAATGTAGTACAATATCTCCACCAAAAGACGAAAACAAACCCTTTCAGATATTTCTCTTGTTGTGTAAGAAAGAGAAATTTAAGGTTATTCTAAGAAAGCAGATAGCCTACTTTACTTTTTCCTTTGGATCTTTCTCAAGTTTTTGTAAGAAAGGGAATTTAATTTGGTGATTCCCTTAGAAGTACAAAAATGTTTGCGTAAGAACTCAGCTTTTCATAAAATGAACCATAATTCCCTATTGAGTAAGAAAGCTCTTGAAGCCGAATGTAGTAACGTCGAGTGGAGCATATCTTCGCATACTGTATCTCTCTTTGTTCTTGATTGTTATGCTTGTTGGTGTTAAAAAGTAATAATAAATAAAATGAACCATAATGACCGATTAATGTTTATACCTTTGGATTACATGAATATGGATATCTAAACTTAGGGTTGTGGATTAGAGACCAACTCCATTATTGGTAATTCCCAAGTAATTGCATGTAGAATGGGTACTTCTATCCAGTAAAATATTATGGAGGCTATAAGAAGAGTCCAATCACTAAGTATTGATTTTAATCCAAATGTTAAATCACAATTATACTCACTGTATTTTTATTATTTTTTAATGTAAAATATATGTTCTTTAATAGACAAAATAATCTATTCAAACTTTCTAAAGGCATTCTCGAGTTTTAAGTAAATATCGAACATGATATCAGCATACTAGAGTATCAAATTTATGACAGAAAAATCAATACTAATCAAACCTGAACCAAATATGACGTCTGTAGTGTTACACGTAGTATTTGACACTAGAGGAGAAATCCCAATTAGTTAACTAGATTTGAAAAGTTTGATTGGCATATTTCAATCTGGAAAGCACAACTCAATCACACAAACGCAAGTTCAATCACTAGTGTTACAAGGCAATGATTCTATAGGAGGATAAGGATTCAAGAACCCCTAAAATTTTACAGAAAATTATTGGATGGCTGTGGACCTTGTAGTACAGTCCAATCTAAACTGATTTTGAATTGTGGTCCAGCCTAAAAAGTCATGCCACATCTATCATGGGCATGCCAAAGAATTGTCAAATGCAGCTTTTGAATTGTGGACAATCATCATAACATGTAATAATTTCACAGCAATTTCCAACCAAAAAAAAAAAAGTTGGGCCACATTTGAAACAGACAGCATTAAGGAGTCACAAAGCTGTGGAGATTTTACCACCACAGATTAAGCAATATGCTTTTACTTTCTTTTTCCTGGACAATATTTTCAATGTATCATTCCGGTCATGGACTATTAATAAAGTGAGTTTACTTTGAAACTCATTGCATAAGACTCATATGGACAAATAAACATGATGCACAGTGCAAACAGATAATATTGACATGGGATCAACATGAAAAACTGCATTTGTATATAAACACTTCTGCATCCAAGAAAATGAACTGCAACCTTAACTAAAGCCCCCATCAAAACTCAAAATGAACCAAGCAGGGTTGCCGGGAAACAAGAAACAACCGCAGTTTACCCAAATTTTATATCGATTTCAAACAAAAAAAAATATCCCAAACCCTTAACTAAATCCACAGAACGACCACATGATGCAAGACAGGAGGGGTCAGCAGCTGAACACAATATAGCCTCATTCTGCAAAAGTTGATGCATCGAGAAGGCACGAGCAGAACAAAGTAGGTAATTGTGAAAACAAATATAGAAAGCTCAAATTAAAATCAGGAAATAGGAAATGAAGAAAATAACAGAAATGCTATGCCTTCCTAAAACATATCTGGAATCCAAAATCAAGTTGGACATATCATAGAAGCCAACAATTGCTATCATGTTCTAACATCTAGCACAATAAAAACCAACTGTAATACTCGATAAATATCAATTCAAACAACAATTCAGTTCAGGGGGTTGTTTCAGAAACAACACAACATAGTCTATAAAGAAAACAACAAAATTGCAACAATGATTTCCTACTAGGCTACTACACAAATTGGGAAACAGACCAGTCCGCATTGCACATGACCCACATTTCCCAACTTTACGTTCAGTACAGCTTTAATTAAGGCACTAGATTACTAGGAATAAGATGACAAATGGCCCCCCTCCTTAAAACATATCTGGAATCCAAAATCAAGTTGGACATATCATAGAAGCCAACAATTGCATAATCAACTGATCATGTTCTAATATCTAGCACAATAAAAACCAACTGTAATACTCGATAAATATCAATTCAAACAACAATTCAGTTCACGGGGTTGTTTCAAAGACAACACAACATAGTACATAAAGAAAACAACAAAATTGCAACAATGGATTCCTACTAGGCTACTACACACAAATTGGGAAACAGACCAGTCCCCATTGCACAGGACCCACATTTCCCAACTTTAAGTTCAGTACAGCTTTAATTAAGGCACTAGATCGCTAGGAATAAGATGACAAATGACCCTCCATAGTCCATGCAGAGAATAATTTACCTCACCAAGTCAAAACCTCATCAAAGGAGATCAGCAACATTTGCTGGTAGCTCCTCAATTACCACATTATAAAACTTCTGGATGTCAAACAGCATCCTTTCATCATCTTTGGTCACAAAGTTGATGGCAACACCCTTCCTCCCAAAACGTCCACTACGTCCAATTCGATGGAGGTAGTTCTCCGGTTGGGTTGGCAGATCAAAATTAATCACAAGAGAGACTTGTTGGACATCAATACCACGGGCCAAGAGATCAGTGGTGATGAGCACACGAGAGGAACCAGAACGGAATTCTCGCATGATAATATCCCTCGTGTTCTGGTCCATGTCTCCATGGGTGGCGGAGACCGTGTGATCACGGCTGCGCATTTTGTCAGTGAGCCAGTCGACCTTGCGCCGGGTGTTAACAAAGATGACACTTTGGGTAATGGCCAAGGTTTCGTAGAGATCACAGAGTGTCTCAAGCTTCCAGTCCTCCTTGTCCACGTTGACGTGGAATTGCTTGATACCCTCAAGAGTGAGCTCATCACGTTTCACAAGAATCCTCACAGGTTTATTCATGAATTTCCTAGTAATTTCAAGGGCCTCAGGTGGCATTGTGGCAGAGAAAACCCCCACCTGGATTTTGGGTGGCAGCAACTGGAAAATATCATAGATCTGACAAGGATAATTTAACAGCATTAGACAAAGAACCATTTCAATAAAAGCATAAAGAATCAAATTGTGCTCAAAACTACAAATAGAACAAAATCAATGAAACGATATTCCTCATGTGCCTAAATAAACAATTGACAAACTCACGCTAACAACTCTGGCTAATGGTGAAGAAAAGCAGATCTGAGAAAAGAAAAATCAACTACCTGATCCTTGAAACCCCGTGAAAGCATTTCATCTGCTTCATCCAACACAAACATTTTGATGAAATCAGGGCGAAGTGACTGTCTCCGCAACATGTCAAATACTCGACCAGGAGTTCCAACAACAACATGAACCCCACTTGAAAGAATACGCTGATCTTCACGGACACTGGTACCTCCTACACAAGCATGAACTTTCACACCAAGATAGTCACCCAGTGCTCGCATAACCTTCTCAATTTGCTGCGCGAGTTCACGAGTGGGTGCAAGAACCAAAGCTTGGCATTCAACTACCCCATAATCAAGCTGCTGCAGAATTCCAGAGCAGAAAGTTGCGGTTTTTCCAGTTCCGGACTGTGCTTGTTGAATTACATCAAGTCCTTTACAGAAAGGAACAATCCCCCTTTGCTGAATTGCAGAGGGCTTCTCAAAACCTAAAAAGAAATTCAGGTCCAACTTTCAGCTCTCCATTTTAGCAATAAGGGGGACTCAACATAAACAAGAATTAGAACGCATTAACTCATTATATTATACAACATGAATTTCCAGCAATTCTGATCAAAACATTGTATAATGCATGGATAGATATCAGATTCGTATAATAGCTGAAATTAGTTCACATAAACTTTAAAGCTTAAACGCCCCCAAAAGAACTATGGTAGGCAACTGAAACAGTAGAACTGAAAAACTTCCCAATCAGATGACCCATCCATTAATCAAGGAAATAGTCAAACTGAGGAAGCTACAGTTTAGATCATCTGATCAGTCAGGATGTTGATGCTAAATATCCACAAATGGTAATCAATTAGTTGAGGAAACAAATAGGTTCTATGCCAGCTATCATAAACAAAATTGTCAGAATGTTACCTTTGTGAAATTATTATAAACTAATACAAGTTGTGAGACCCCCTACCATAAGCATAGATGCCCCTCAGGAGATTTTCTTGCAGTCCCATAGCATCAAAGCTCTCATAAACTTCATCATACATGGTGAAGAATTCTTGTCCTTCAGCCCCAAGTCTGATCTCATCAATTCATCAAACCAAAATCATCAGTATCACAAGGTAAAAATGATAAACCAGGAAAAAGAAAAGGAAGAAGGATAAGAAACAGCTACAAAAACAAAAATTAAAGCCATGTTATTGCCAGTGAACTACAAGTTAATTATGGAATACGACATCTTTTTTGCAAAAATACCATATTATTGCCAGTCCAACCACAATGACTTAATTATGGAATAGGTGAAAAAAAAAAAAAGGAAACTTACAACTCATTCATTTTAGTATCATATTGACGAGCATCAAATTGGGAACCCTCTGGTGCCAATCCAGCCATGACTGCAAAAGTGCAAACAGAAAAGAGAACATATCTTAATCCTGAGCACAATGTCACTGAAGCAATTGCAGCTCATATAGACAATTCCCCGATTATAATTTATGAATTTGGGGCAGTATACACCATACAGATGGTTTTATAGGATGAACACTTGAAATGGTATTTGATAGATACTATTGATGTTTCGTCACTTTCGTGTTTCACAATATAAAGAATCACAAAGCAGTCTTCCCATTTCACATGCCTTTTATTTATTTTTTTAATTTTGAATAAGTATCTCTCATCCAAGTAGGCCAAATCAAATATAAAACACATAAAAACTAGATAGTTAAACATAAACATAGAGATATAAGCATGTGATAAATTCACACCCCCTAGAGACTATACTGGCAGGTGGAGATGGTTCAGAGACATCACGTTATAGAGAATCATTTAGTGAAAAAAAAAAAAAACAACCAATGCTCTGATATAACCTAGTTGATGAGTGATCTAAATAACCACTTCACAACATTGGCATATACGAAATATAAGCATGTAATAAATGCACACACCCTAGGGATTATAGCGGCAGTAGGAGATGGTTCAGAGGCCTCAAGTTTATAGAGACTCATTTAGTGGGAGAAAAAAAAAAAAAAAAAAAAAAAAAACAACCACCAATGCACTGATAACCTAGTTGATGAGTGATCTAAATAACCATTTCACAACACTGGCATATACGATAAATATTATCAAATATCATAAAGCGTTCTTCAAGAATGATGTTGGGCACCAGGTGTCAACTTACAGGATGTTGCCTCCCGTATCTTATTTCACGTTTGAGAATTCTGCTTAAAGTGCTTTGCATCTCATCATTTCCTTTTATAATCCTCTCTTTATTTCAAAAATATAGGTTCGCATTTCTTAATTTAAAGGGAGGAGAAAAAAAAAAAAAACCTAGAAACCATCTTCAATTGACTTCAAAAAGGTACTTAGAAGAACCATCATGTCTTGCCACTGCCAATCATAACTCTCAATGACCACTTAAAAGGAGTTTCCTAAAGCATTATTTGAGCTTCAAAATGCAGTCAAATGCTAGGGGAGTATAAGTGATCAAGGGTAGCACTCATTTCCCTTTTCACAAAAGGGAACTTTGTGCAGATATCGACAAATCCCAGGTTGCAGTCTTATGATACTTCACAATATGCACATGGCCTTATTTTTCATAGGTGCTCCTTTTTCTACAGGCCTTTAATTTAATGTTGTTATATTCAGCAATCGTGGTTACTGGTAAAAAATTACTGCACACATTATTAGTGCTCAAAATAAATTAAAACTAGCTCCTACTACTCAAAAAAAGGTAAACAATTAAATAGAATTGCTTCCAGGTGTCTAATGTTGAAAGGCCGATAAAAAACAGACTAATAAAATTGGAGTACAGGACACTATAACCGAATCAATTCAATTTGCTTCCAAAAGCAATAAAAATACTGCATAGATACTAACAAACAATGCTTTTGATGAACACAGCTCTATAAAATAATAAGACTTCAAAATGGCCCCCAGGCCATATCCAAGCAAAATATTCTAGAAATATGGTCCTGCAAATTTATTAGCATATCAACAAGTATCAGAATAAGTTGGTTTTACACATTAACCAGCCAACATATGGTTTGCAGTTCCAAAGCACCAATTTTTCCTTCGCCAATAAAGATACCATGCCTCAACCCTGTCCAAAGGTTGAAGCACAAACAGAATCCAAATCCAAACCCAAACAGGCTTGGAAGGATTGATCCAAAGAACCAACTTTAACAGCACATGGTAAATGATTTTCTTCAAACAATAGCTTTTTCATACGCCCAAATCAGCTTTTGCACACACCTCTCCTCCATCGTCAAATAAACACAAACCAGTCTGTACACTCCATGTAATGAGTATATATAAACGCATATACACATATATATAGACCAGTATTAATTGAAAAACAAATTGAGCCTCACCACAGATTTTTTCAATATGGGACATATTAATAACCCAAGAAACATATGTATATATGCGTATTTATACATGAAATGATTTATAACAAACAGATCTTTAAGCCAATCAAAAGCCCAATAAAATCGATGATATTAGGAAAAAAAAATGATTACTCAACACCTATGATTATCAAAACTCAAACAAAAATATATCTGATGAATCCAATTCCAAGTCCTAGCAAAAGCAGTATCTATATATACATAAAACAGATATAGAGAGAGAAAGGATATATTTTCACAGTTACCTCGTAGAGTTGAAAGGTCGACGAAGTGAGAAAGCGGAAAGAGAGAGCGAGAGGCTGCTTTTTCTTAGAGCTAGGGTTTCCCAAACTCCTCGGATCTACGCCGCGGAGTTGAGGAGCAAAAACGTAGTAGTGAGGAGTATATACGAGGCTGCTGCGTTTAAGGGTATTTTAGGAATGAAAAAAATTGTAACAAGATGCCCTTCCTTCAATCCGCATCCTGTGTGACTCGACTCCTCAGGTAGGGTTGCAAAATCATATAATAATAATAAAATTTAAATAATAATAATAATAAATTTTAAAAAAAATAAAAAATAAAAATAAACCTATAAATTGAACCGGAATCCAAATCAATCCATACGGTTTCATCTAATTTGAGTATGCAATGGTTCAAATTCGGTTCTAAACTTTAATTCAGTTCGCTTTTTATTTAAAATTAAAAAAAGAATTGAAACACTAAAATTATAGAACCAAACTAAATCGATAATTTTATTCTATTCACTCCAATGCATCTAACAATTTGATTTGATTCTCATATCTTAAAATTTATTGAATTCGATCTGATTTGATACATCTCAAATTTGGAACAAACCAAATTGTCTACGCCTCTAATTTTAGATGAATTTTTTTCCCCATATTTAGTAATAAAATTCATTACTTTAAATGGTAAAATTTGAAGTACAAAACGACATAGTTCTAGATTCACATTGCAAGTATCCATTATTAAAGTGGATACAAGTCTAGTCTAGTGGTGGGTGTCAAGTTTCATGATGCAAGTATGGATCAAATTCTTATTGGAATTCGATCTAATAACTCCAAACATATATAAAACATTTTATCTAATAATTCATTAACAATTGGAAGTTGATAATTTGTTAGTTAAATAAATCAGATATAAATTATAATTTATAATTAATTTGATCGGATAGTAGTTAATATAATAAATATTATATTATAAATATATTATCAAATTATGTAATGTATAATATTTAAATGGTATCGAATATATATATATATATATATATATATATATTTATTTATTTATTTTCGTATTCAAAACATTGGTGATAACTTCGAACTCTTAAGGCTAGTTAGATGAAAATAGAATAAAATAGAGTGGAATGAAATGTTTTTAATTTTAAAAAATAATTTTAAAGAAGGAATGTCCATTTCTCACCAAAAGAACTATGGTAGGCTACCGAAACAGTAGGACTGAAAAAACTTCACCGATCAAATGACCCATCCAATTATCAAGGAAACAGTCAAACTGAGGACGCTACAGTTAAGATCATCTGATCAGTCAGGATGTTGGTGCTAAACATCACAAATGGTAGTCGATTAGTTGAGGAAACAAATAGGTTTTTTTGCATATATGCTAACAAACAATGCTGTTGATGAACACAGATTTAAAAAATAAAAAACCTGCATAATGCCTTTGGTAAGTCTATTTTGACTTTTCGTATTTCAAAACTAAAAATAAAAATGCTATTTTATTATTTTATTCATTTTCAATTATACTCTAATAGTAAATAAAACATTATTTTATTATTTTTTAATTAAACTCAAATAGTAAATTATTTTTTTTTTGTTTTTAATTGTACTCAAATAGTAAAAGTAAAAGTGTTATTTTATTATTTTTCAATTATAAATAGAATAGTAAGTAAAATAATCAATTTAAAAAAAAAAAAAATTACCAAAACTCACAAGCACAGCTTCACCAATCAGGCCCCAAGTAGCCAACATATTGTTTCAGTTCCAAAGAACGAAATTTATACATGGAATTATTTGTGCCAAATAGATCTTTAAGCGAAACAAAAGCCGATAAAACATTGGAAATTCGAAAATAAATGATTACTCAACACCTATAATTATCAAAACTCAAGTCCTAGCAAAAGCATTATCTATGTATACATACAATAGATATATATATAGAGAGAGAGAGGGAGGAGATATATTTTCACAGTTACCTGGTAGAATTGAAAGGTCGACGAAGTAAGAAAGTGGAAGGAGAGAGGGAGAGGCTGCTTTTTCTTAGAGCTTGAGCTTGGTTTGGATTTGAAATTGGTATTGAAAAAGGAATTGAATTCTGTTAAATTTATATGGCTCGAAATTAAGTTATCCACTTGCACCAACGTCATCATCCGTGGGGAGCAAGTATGCAAGTGGTAGCCCACCTTTGGAAATTGTGAAATCAATTTCAAAGCTGCACCATATTTCATAATTCCTTGGTCCAGAAGAATAGTGCACCATCTTCATTTTTCGGAAAAAGAAACGAAAAAAAAAGAAAGTGGACCACGGACAATGCGTCATCAAGAATTTTCTGGAAGCTGTCATTGCCGGTCAACAATTTCGGCTATATGCAAGCTATTCATATTTTGTGTGGAACAAAAATCAACTCCAGTGCACCTCTCACTGGAGTCTGTACAGTGACGATCTAATAACTCAGATCAAATTAACATTGGATTCAAATCGTTCCATTTCACCTTTCACTTAACAGAATTCAGTGAGAATCCAAGGGCTGAGATCAAACCACCTCAGCCTTTTTGCCACATCAATCCCTGACACAATCCAACTCAACACTCACTCAAATAAGTTACTGATTATACTTTTTTTTTTTTTAATCACATGTACTAATACAACAAAAGGAATGCTAGCTATATGCTTTATATGTACCGTAGAATACTTGCTGCCTTCCCTTAAGTGCAGACTTGCGTTCTGCTTCGAGTAGGGACGGAAGAGGAGATACGAATAGCGCTTTTCAAAGATGAGCCCCTTTTTTTGGCAGGTTCGGTCAGGAGGGACAAACGAGAGATATTTTTTCAAACCAGATTTTAGAACAAGATTTGATAAATAATAGTCAACAAATTGGGATTCATTTATCAACAGATTTTTTTCTTACTTCAGTCTACGTTTCTCGCTCCTTTCATAGTCCATAGAATCGATATCTCCAACATACACTTATACATTATATATATACAAAAATATATATACAAATATTATACAAATCTTATATTATATACAAAAATATTTTCTTCCATTTCTTTTCAGTAAAATTCAAATCTCAATACAACATACACTTATACATTATATATATACAAATTTTAAATACAAAAATATATCAAGTTTAGTATCTAAATATACGTATAACAATATATTATACACAAAAATATTTTATTGCATTCCTTTTTAGTAAAATTATAAATCCCCATACAACATACAATTATACATTATATATATATACAAATTACAGTTTAGTATCTAAATAAAAGTATAATAATATATTATATACAAAAATATTTAATTTCATTCCTTTTTAGTAAAATTGCAAATCTTAAACATTGATTATGTATCGGTATAGTTCAGTATCCAAATATAAATTTATTTGAAATTTTAGGGTTTTGAAATAATTCACTAATTATATAGATTTTAGAGTTGTGAAAGTTAATTTTTTTTAACGTGTTAGGAAAATATGTTGATGTTATATGCAATTCATATGTGATACATGTTTTAAAAAGTTGTGATAATAATAATTTGATCTCTCCAACTTTTGTATTGTATGCTGTTACAAAAAGTAGGTGATGGAATATGCAAATCTTCCTACATATATGTTAAAAGTATTTGAGGTTCTTATTATTAATTTAGGAATTGTGAAATTGAGTTGTGGAAGTTAATTTATTTTAACGTGTTAGGAAAATATGTTGATATTATATGCAATTCATACATGATACATATTTTAAAAAGTTGTGATAATAATAATTTGATGCGGAAGTTAATTTTTTTTTAACGTGTTAGTAAATATGTTGATCCTATATGCAATTCATACATGATATATGTTTAAAAAAGGTTGTGATAATAATAATTTGACTCCAACTTTTGTGTTGTATATTGTTACAAAAAGTAAGTGATGGAATATGCAAATTTTCCTATATATATATTGAAAGTATTTGTGATTCTTATTATTAATTTAGGAATTGTGAAATTGAGTTGTGAAAGTTAATTTTTTTAACGTGTTAAGAAAATATGTTGATGCAATATGCAATTCATACATGATGCATGTTTTAATAAGTTGTGAGTATAATAAATTAATCTGTATGCTGTTACAAAAAGTAGGTGATGAACCCAGCCTTCAAATTTTTTGATTACCAGTAATCATCACTGGATTTCAGTCATATAAGATAAACTTTGATATGTCATTATGAATAAAGTTATAAGAAATTCAAAATAATAACCTAATACTTATAATGATTGGAGCTTTAGCTTCGGACTATCAGAAATATTTTGGGGCATCTCTCCTTTTCAGAAATTTTAGCTTATTGCTGGAATATATGGTGATTTTTCCGACTAGATCTCCTTTTGTTTGCTATGCCTCTTCCACCTTCACCAAGAGAGTTTTTTACACGTAAACATAAATAGCAGAGTTTTGGGAGAGTTTCGTCACCGAATTTGAAATTTCAGAGAGAGATTTCCTATCTAATATTTCAGACATAGTATATATAGCAGGGGAAGGTCAACTTTCCTTTTGGGGAGAAATTAAAAATTGAAACTCAAATACGATTTTGGAAAAATGCAATAATACGGTGCATAAAGAAGATGTATAAATTACACCGGACTGGATGATCGAAGCTTCATCTTCTCGCCGGACCGGATGATCGGAGCTTCAGCTTCTCGCCGGAATGTATGGAGATTTTTCCAAACGGAGTTTCTTTGAACAGAGATCTTTTGTCTTTCACAAAACGTCCTAAGTTCATCTTCTTCTTTTCCAAAATCTATGTTTGGTTCGTGGTTGTCTTCTTTCTCAGTTGCACTTGATCATACAGTTTAGTTTGCATATTTCATAAATGAGAGGGATATTTCAGATTGACTATATATATATCAGTTTTGGCTCCAATCTCAACTTTCATTTTGGGGGTAATTTCAAATTGAAAGTGAAATACAAATACAGGTACAGAGTATACAAAACTTGGATGTACAAAGTATAAACTACCATTAGTAAATACACATTTTACAGAAGTGCCACATCAGCCATTTAACCCCTCACTTGACAATTTCCAGTGAGAAGCGAATGGAGAGGATTCCTTTCCATTAACATCAGTTCACTTATCTTAGAGTCTATACAGTGATGATCCAACCGCTCAAATCAAATCCACATCAGTTCACTTGTCTTGTCAACATTAACTTAATGCCATCTCAGCACCTAGTCATCCACTTAAGTAACAAAATTACTGACATACAATTTCTTTTATCACATGTACAAATATCTCATATAATATATACTAATACGTTATACGTTATATAATATATTATATAAAAATAATTTTATTCTATTATACTAAATATCCATCATATTTCACTTTTACCTTTTTTAAAAAAACATTTTAATTTCTTCTTCTTCTCCATTATTTTGTTTGGTTCGTCTTTCTTCTTCTACCTCCACTATTATACATTTCCAATGTAAATCTTGTCAAAAGCTGTGAAGAGAAAATTTTACAAATTCTTTTAGTAGGGTATTATACATTTGGGAAACTTGAAATTTGAATGGCTACATTTTGTTTTCACTATCTTATTTGTATAAAAAATAAAATAAAAAAACTAATTTCTACCAGTGGCACAAGAGTAGAAAAGGACAATAAGGAAGGCATAGCGAAGTTATATTATTTACTTAATATTCTTCATTTTATAACTTCAATTAATTCCATTGTAAGTTGAAGTTATATCATTTTATTTATTATTAGTCACAAAATAATATATTTAGCAATGTAAAATTACATTAATATAATAATTGATATATAAATAGGCATAATATAAATGAAAAAAATAATATTTTGAAATAGCTTCAATACAATTGAGAGAGAGAGAGATGTTTTTGTACAACTTAGCCTTTATATATATATATATATATATATAACTTATAAATTGAAAGCAAATTATAAATAAATTTTTAAATAGTTTCAATATACTAAGTAATATTTTTCTTTCTAGGTTGAATAATAGAATTCTATGGTTCTTCATAAGTGTGGATTAATTTCTTTCTTCCAAATATTTGCACCTACACAAATAAATATATTTTACAAATAACATTAGGAATTGAACTTAATATGTTTCAAACCTAAATTATATGTAACATCTGAACTTATTTATAACATGTATCATATATTATTTTTATGTGACTTGTATAAGTAAAAATATGAATTAAATTCAACATCAAACAAATATGATTTAGAATGTAATACCCCTAATTTTCAAAAGGATAGTCTCAGAATTTTGATTAATTGTTTTCTTTTGATTAATTGTTTTATTTAATATTTTAATTGGTTTAATTGTAATTAGTTGTTTGGTTGACTTGTTTATTGACTTTAATTATTTAATTGTTTTACTTGGTGTAATTTTATTGACTTAATTTTGTTCTTTAATTCTTTGTTAATTGTTTTATTTAGTTTTTGGTTAATTGGTAATTAAAATAAATTAAAGTTACTTGTTTTCCTAAATTCACGTTACTGTAGGATTGGTGGTAAGTAGCAGACATGCTTATTCACTTAGATGGTGTTATGGGCCGATTAGGTTTCACATTAGAGATTCAATGAGCTTTAGGTTTTGTGTAACCTTATAAATAGACGTAATAAGGCTACCTAGGGTTTTACATACAAATAAAAAAAAAAACACAAAGAAAAGAAAACCAACACACGTCTGTGGAAGTAGCAGAGAGAGAAACAGAGGAGGTTTATAACAATTGTGTTCGCCGGAGGTCTTAGAAGACAGCGTAGAGATTTTGAACAGAGATCTCAAAGGCAAGTTCTATCCTTGCTCTCTCCCTTAAGCTTCGTGTTCTTTGCATTCCTAACCTGTTCCAGGATTAATTGTAACTTAAAAACTTTCTCTGTTCGTGCTAAAGTTTGATACACACCAGTATGTGTTGCATGATTGTTAAACTGTTAAAACTTGATAGTTGTGTGCATAATTCTTGATTTAAATTCATGATTAGTAGTGGTATAAGGACTTAAACACGGACTGGGAACACACTAGGGTTAGGTTACAGGGTTTGGAAGCCATAATAGTGAGGTGTAGAGGCT